CCCTACACACCATCCCACAGCGATTTCCAATTTGATAGCTAATGAAGGAGTCTTATCCTCCAAAATAAAATATACAAACTGTTATCCAGTTATAGAGTCACAGACACAGAGTGGTAAGGGCTTGGAAGGGACCTCTAGAGACCATCTAGTCCAACCCCACTACCAGAGCAGGATCACCTAGAGTAGATCACACAGGAACAAGTCCAGGCAGCTTTTGAAAGTCTCCAGAGGAGACTCCACCACCTCTCTGGCCAGCCTTTTCCAGTGCTCTGTCACTGTCACAGTGAAGGAGTATTTCCTCATGTTCAGGTTGAACCTTCAGTTTTCCAGTTTATGGCCATTACCCCTAGTCCTGTCACTGGACACCACTGAGAAGAGCCTGGCTCCCTCCTCTTGACACCCTTTAGATACTTATAAGCACTGACAAGATCCCCTTTCAGCCCCTCCTCCTCCCCCTTCTCCAAGCTAAACAGCCCCAGCTCTCTCAGCCTTTCCTCATATGGAAGGTGCTCCAGGCCCTTCATCATCTTAGTGGCCCTGCACTGGACTCTCTCCAGTAGTTCCTTGTCCTTCCTGAAATGAGGAGCCCAGAACTGGACACAGTACTCCAGGTGAGGCCTCACCGGCACAGAGTAGAGGGGGAGGATAACTTCCCTCGACCTGCTGGCCACCTCCTCTTAATGCATCCCAGTATGACATTGGCCTTCTTAACCGGGAGGGCACACTGTTGGCTCATGTCATCCTGTTGTCCACTAGGACTCCAAGGTCCTTTTCCCCAGAGCTGCCCTCCAAGAGAACAACCCCCAACCTGTACTGATACATGACGTTTTTCTCCCCCAGATGCAGTACTTGACACCTACTCTTATTGAATTGCACTAGATTTCTCCCCGCCCAGCTCTCCAGGCTGTCCAGGTCATGCTGGATGGCAGCACGGCCTTCTAGCATGGCAGCCAATCCTACCAGATTGATCATCAGCAAACCTGCTGAGAGTACATTCTATCCCTTCATCCAGGTCACTGATGAATATATTGAATAAGGCTGGACCCAGCACTGACCCCTGGGGGATGCCACTAGCCACAGGCCTCCAACTAGACACTGCCCCACTGACCACAACTCTCTGAGATCTTTCCTCCAGCCAGTTCCCAATTCATCTCACCGTCCAATGGTCCAGTCTGCACTTCCTAAGCTTGTCTATGAGGATGCCATGGGAGACCATGTCAAAAGCTTTGCTGAAGTCAAGGCAGACCACATCCACTGCCTCCCCTTGTCTATCCATCTAGTGATGCCATCATAAAAAGCAGATTGGGCAAGCATGACTTTCCCTTGCTGAATTCATGCTGACTACTCATGATAATCTTCTTTTCCTCAACATGCTTTGTGTAATTCTAATCCTATCCAGTGAAAAAAATTTGAATTTACCCAATAATGTGGTTATTACTATGTAATTAGTATTAACTCTTGGATGGTGAAGGTTGGGGGAGTGACAAAGTTGTTCCCTAACAAAATTTATTGAACAATGCAAGCTGTAGGCAGAAAAATAACTGCACCTTCTCATCCCTATCACTCATTACATACTCACACAAAAGCCAGTCTGAATCTAGGAGAAAAGAATGATAATAAATCTAGCACAATAGGAAAGAGCAATGTTACCACACTTTGAAAAATGTGTTAGTAATGTAATCAAAATTGCCTTATGCTGTATATAATAATGCATGGCAGGTAACCAGTCCTTCTTGGTGGATTACTATTTCCCTGGCCGGAAACCTGTGCTGATAAGAAACAGCATACCCTCCACTTCTTCCAAAGTAAAATTAATTCTTTCCAGCACCTCCCCACCCCCGCTAAAGAGTGGTATTTCAAAGTGCCTCTTGCATGCACTTTCCTATCTCAAAAAAACCCCAAAACCAAACCCAAATGGAAAGATATTTAAAAAAATTAAATGTTTGGAAATGTAAGGATTTTCTATTTAAGAATAAAATGTTCTTCTTCCCTTGGTTGGAACATTGTCAAGACGGTTTCCAAGGTGACACATCAATTATGATGGGTTGATGGGTCACACTAGATTGCACTGCAGAAAATCATAAAGCATTAATCTTCGAAATTAGAGAGAGAATAACCTGGACAGACAGACACACACTCCCTTTCCCTCTTTTCAGCTTTGGTAGTTTCTGCAAATTCTGTCCAACTTAAAATTAAAAAAAAAAAAAAAAGAAGATAGAGAGAGTTGCAGTTACTTGATTCACAGTGATAATTTAGGTGAAACCATGCTAAATGTTCACCTAAAACTGGACACATGAACAGTTCTTCAGTAAAGCTGATTCTGGGGAGAAAGCATGCAAGTTGCTTCTTACCTGTAATATGGTAGCTAACCTGTCGGTTGACATCAGATGTGTCTTCATCCCAAGTGCTAAGAACAGCCACAACTTCCCCCGGCGGGTCACTCTCCTTCACTGACCCTCTGTACACCTCATGCTCAAAGACTGGTGCGTTATCATTTATATCTGTCACGGTAACGGAGACCAAGGTGGTTGAGGACAAGGATAAAGCTTCCCCCAGATCTGAGGCCACCACTGCAAAGGTGAAAGCAGGATCCTTTTCATGGTCCAGATCCTTCAGCGTGCTGATCCAGCCACTGTTGCTATCAATGGTGAATGCTTCTGTGATCTTCTCCAGCTCTGATTCCACCGCAAGCATATACGTGACCTGTCCATTTGCACTCGAGTCTGCATCAACCGCTTTAACTTGAATAAGTTTTGTTCCTATGGGCATCCCTTCCATTATTATAGCATCATAGCCAGCTGTTTCAAACACGGGCTTGTTGTCATTTACGTCCAATACCTTAACTTCCACATCCACAGTCAACACAATGTCTACTTTGTCTAACTGAATGGTGGCTGCAACTTTGAAGTGGAAAGCAGGATTTGTCTCATGGTCAAGTCTCTTATCCAGCTTTATGAGCCCCGTGTCTTGCTCTATGATGAAAACCCCATCTTTGTTGTTTTCAGTCAGCTCACCATTAACTGTGCTGTACAAAGCGCCCGGATTAGGCAAAACATGCAGAATGTCAATGGTACTGCCTATGACGGTGTCTTCTGCTATGGTAAAAGAATACTGGGGTTGAGAAAAGGAAGGCAAAATAGTTTCTGGAGGCAAAACATGGATGTAGACAGGTATGAGGGAATGCTTTACGGGAATGCCACCATCGACTGCTTTGACAAAGAATGACAGAACTGTGTTTTTCAGCTGGTTAAAGCTACCCTTGGTGACCATCCATCCGTTGTCTGGATCTATTTCCAGCAGATCAGCTACCGAAACAGAGGCTTCACTATACAGAGAATAGGTAATTCTAGAATTGGCTCCATCATCTGGATCTACTGCTTGCACTTGCGTCACCAAGTAACCTTTCCCAACATCTGCCTTTACACTTGCTCTGTATTCAACTGTCAGAAATTGGGGAGCGTTGTCATTCTCATCCACTACTATCACCCTCACAGTGCAAAATGTAGTCCTGCCCCCGCCATCGAGGGCTCTCAAAAATATACCAATGTCGCTCTCCAGCGGGCTCTCTCGGTCTAACCGCTCAGTTGTCAGAATCTGCCCATTGCTATCAATCAAAAATCGGTCCTTGGCAAAGTCATTTATTATGGAGTAGCTTATCTGGCTGTATACACCTGAATCCCCATCTGTTGCCTTCACATGGATTACCTTAGTTCCAGGAGCAGCATTTTCTCTAACCTCTGCAACGTAAACACTCTGCGAAAACACAGGGCTGTAGAGGTTGGCCCCAAGGATCTGTATGTGCACCTGAGCTGTGCTGGTGAACAGCCCGTCTGACACAGACACATTTAGGCTGTACATGGGCTCCATTCTCTGTTTCCGGTGGTTGGAAAGCGTGATAACGCCACTCTTGCTGTCCATAAGAAAACTGGTCCGATCATTTCCTGATAAGATGCTGTATTCCAGTCTGTCAAAATCGGAGCTGTCAGCATCAGAGGCTTGGACACAAGTCACAAAATGACCTCGAGGGGCCAGTTCACTCACATACGATTCATATATTAACTGGTTAAAAACTGGAGGGTTGTCATTCATATCTGTTATTGAGATACTGACAAGAACCTCACTGCTCAGTGGTGGGAACCCGTTATCGGTTGCTCTGACTTTCAAGCTGCACTGCTGTATGAGTTCATGATCCAGCATCCGGGCTGTCAGAATTAGGCCGCTGGTGCTGTCTATATGGAAATAGTCTGTGCTGTTAAACGTGTCCTGGACTATCTGATACTGCACAATCTTGTTGTTGTCTGAGTCGGCATCAATAGCAACAACCTGCAGTACAGGAGTCCCAATCAAAGATGCTTCAGACAAAGTTGCATTATAAGCTGTCTGATCAAAAACTGGAGGATTATCATTCACATCATTAATGATCAAGTCCACAGTGACCTCAGCTCGAGCACCAGTGAGGGCATCGCTGGCTCGCACCATCAGCTTGAAAAGAGAATTTATTTCATAGTCCAGTGGGCTGATGACACTCAGAACTCCAGTATCAAAATCGATATTAAACTGATTGTAGGGATCTCCATCAACAATGATATAAATGATACCCTGGCCTTCTGGACTGGTTGCATTTATGCTTAAAATTGGCGTGTGCGTTTCTACATCTTCATTCACGGAAGCTGTATAGAAGGGCTTGTCAAACACAGGCATCGCTTTGTTAACGATAGTAATGGGGAGCTCTACAGAAGCAGACAACGATGGGTTCCCGCCATCTTTTGCGAGAATGACAACCAAATACTCTATATTAGATAAATCGGAATTGAAGGCTTCTTTTAAAGTGACACTGCCAGTTCCTCTATCAATTTCAAAATGTCCATAGTCTTCCTTCAGAAGATAGGACACCTCACCATTTTCACCCTTATCTTTATCAATAGCCGTCACTCGATATATTAGGGTACCAGGCTCAGCATCAACTTGCACAGCAGCATAGTACGGAAGGCCTACAAACACTGGGGCATTGTCATTTATGTCCTCAATGTAAACCCTCACCACCACTCGAGCGACACGAAGGTGATCGAGTTCACGGCTTGCTTCCACCACCAGCTCGTACAGCTCTTGTTCCTCTCGGTCGAAGGGGATGCCAGTCGTCTGAATGACTCCTGAGGTGGATTTGATTTTAAATTTGTTGCCTGGGTTTAATATACTGTATTTCAAAGGCTCATTAAGGCGGTTACCAACAGCATTCACCACAGCAATCTTGGTGAGATTGGTGATGTTTTCTGAGATAGAAGTGGAATAAAAATTCTGTGTGAAATGGAGCCCACTATCCATGGCTTCTTTTACCATTATTGTCACCATAGCAGTGCTATAAAATTTCCCATCAGATACTCTTACTATTAGCATATAGTGGTCTTTGGAGAGGCTATTGTTTTTAATGGTGAGTACCCCTGTGCTTGAATCAATTAAAAAATGGTCCATATTGCCTTCAATTATACTATATGTTAATTCAGGAGGGATCTCTGAATCTGGGTCTGTGGCCTTGACTTTGAGAACCTCAACACCAACATATGTGGGCAGGAGCAGGACTGTCTCAAATACAGCCTGGCTGAAGACTGGTGGGTTGTCATTGACATCAGTTACCTCGATAGTCACTTCAACGGGGCTCTCCGCTGTAAGCTGAGGATTCCCACTGTCTCTAACATGCACACGGAAGTGGAAGTGGGCAATTGTTTCATGATCTAAATTTGCAATTGTTCTGATTGCACCTGTGCTGGAATCTACCGTGAAATACTTTTTAGCTGTAGACTCAACAATCTGGTAGACAAGCAAAGCATTCTGGTTGCTGTCAGCATCAGTGGCACGTATCACGAGGGGACTGATATTTGCACTCCGGACTATGCTGTTTACGGGAGCAGCTTCACTTATGCTGCCAGAGTACTGAGAGAAGAGAAAAACCGGTGGGTTATCATTTTCATCAACAATCTGAATGTTCACAGTGGCATTTGATGCCATGCCTGCCATATTTGTTGCCTGTACGATGAGCTGATAGGAAGAAGCACGTTCATAATCAAGGGCTTTTTGACTGGTGATCACTCCAGAATACGGGTTTACAGTGAAGACTCCATCCACATTCCCATCTTTAACCTCATAAACTAACGTGGACTGACTGATTGCAGACAGAGAGATAACAGAAGTACCAATATCCACATTTTCATTAACCTCCGCCTGGTAATCTTTGAGAGTGAACTTTGGGTGGGAGTTATCTGCCATCGTCACAGATATCCGCACAATTGCTGTTGCAGACAGTGGTGGCGAACCTTGATCAGTCACTTTGACTGACAAAACAAACTGTCCCATGGTGGTTAAGTCTGGCTCCTTCAGTAATGTAATGATCCCTAAAACGGGTTCAATCTTGAATGTGTTTCCCGTGTTTCCTAAAACACAAATACGGGATGCAAATCAGAAATTAAATTCAACACACATAACGATAATTTAAACTAGGAACAATTAGCTGCAATTTGTTAAAGGCAATTGTTGGGAAAAAGCCTCTAAACAAACAAAAGAATTCTAAAGGTCCTGCCACCCTTCCTTTCTGAAAATCAGGTATCTCAGTAGATGGTACGTGTGTTCCAGCCTTCAGAAACTGAGCTGCTGCTATCTATATCTTGACTCTTGAGTTGCGGTATCTGAGCAAGTGCTGCATGTTCATTACTACTGAAGTAGGAAAAATCATCCCTAAATTATGGGAATTAGTCATATACATGTACACCTAAGGCAAAGAAACCAGATGAGAGGCTAACAAGCCAATTACATGACAAATGGATAACAACTCAGGCTCTTAATTGAAGGGGATATTAAGCAACCGAGAGAAGACTACAGTAGTTCAAGATTCAAAGAACTGAATATAAAAAGGTTAAAGTGGCATTTAGAAAAATAAAACAGAACAAATAGCATAGAAAAGATATTCAAGTATCTTGGGGCACAGGGGTTTATCGTATGATCTCTGAGGAGGACGAATCTAGATGAATGAGATTTAGCAGAAAATGTCATGAACTGTCTGTTATAACATGAAAGCAGGGATATCACTGACTGCATTAAGGTGAAAACAGTGAGTTTGGATCAAGGACTTTCTTTGGGGTCTTTTTTCCTTTTTAGTATTTTTGCCAACCTTTTCTTTAGCAAGACAGATTCAAAGCTTTCGATATGTATCCCTACCCTGTAATTACAGACCATGTTTATTAGGCAATCTATATGATGTTGTTTCCTTAAATGTCTGCTTAAAGTACAGGATGCTGTGTGTGTACAGGGCATGTGTAAGCATACAGACTCTTTTCCTGGATTTGATCTAAATACAAACAGCACGTACTGAGTTACAGCTATTCCAATCTTTACAACATGTTCCTGTGATTGTAATTTACACTCTAAAAACTAGAACTGCTTCCAGTCTACAGTCGAGCATTCATCCATGACCTGGAGAGAAATATGACACAAGTAACTGGTAATAAACAAGAGAATTTTAAAAAATGATGATTGTTACAGGTGCTGTGCAGCAGTAAATGTGAAAATTTTATCTGGAATACCAAATACATGGAATCCTACATGAAGTGTGTTAGTGTAAACCATTTTTAAGATGCGATTTGCTATCTGTTTTAAATCCTGGGGCTTGGAAGCTAATTTAAGCCACATACTATACTGTATGTAGTTCAATACTGGTAGTGGCTTGCTATTTATATCCATCCTTTCAGATCAGTGAAGTTTACTCTAGTAGCGAAAACAAAAATTGTGCTGTTCACTGAGGAGCTGAGATTCTGCCAGAGCTACAAATTTGCATAAAGATCACAGTATCTGTCACATTTGTAGACACTATAAATGCTGCTGCAGCTATTCTGTCAGTACTTGCTAATACAAATAATTTTTAGCCACCGACTGCCTCATGTAAGGCCAGAGCTGGTTCTTCTCCTTTAGGAATTTGCTATGAAATTATTACACAAAAGCAACTTTCTTTACCAACTGCTCTCTTCACATGTGAGGGGATGTAACTCCTCTGAGTGAAAAGGCTGTGTACAATCTGAATGCTGCAGTTAAAACCAGTATCCTCAACTGCAGATTTTATGGATCACAGAAACTGAATTTTGATGCATCTGGAATTGGAACATCTGTGGGTAATGAAACTGGGAGAGTGGGTGGCTTATAGTAAATGGAAGCTTGAAGTCTGACACTGCAGGGAGAGCTCAGGAGAAAAGAGAAACAAGATGGAATAGAGAGCATCTAGAAAAGAGAAAAACATGCAGACTAAAAAGGACCATCTCATAGCTAAAGTATCCTTTCTAATTATCTTTTTCTGTCTGCATCATGTATGACTATTACTAGTCTATGGGAGTCATAACACGCCAGGTTGCTCTTTACATTGTGGTGGCAGCTATAGATGATTGGGTTGGAGCCCATAATAGTAATAAGGTGTCAAGAAAAAGCTGGGAACAGTCTTGAAAACCATGACCCCAGGAATCTGACCTGGTCTGCTCACAGTTTGTTCTATAAGGCACAGTGTTTTTCTGCCTGGGCAAGTGTAAAACCTCCCCTGATCTAAGTTAAAGGCCACTGGAGAATACTAAGAAATAACTGGTAAGACCAAATCTAGTGCATAAAGGAAATATTTACTTTGTAGTGCTAAGATCTTTGTAGGTTCACAAGGGTCTAAGATCAGCACTTTTAGCTGCAAAATACTCTACCTCCTGGTTTGCTTAAGGGACTCTACTGCCACAGAGCATACAAGGTAATGACAGGAAACATTCCTGGGGTCTTCTCTAAGTTTCAGGTTACATTAGCTTAATTTAGGTCTGAGCTTGAACTATCATGAAGTTAAATCAATATGAGATGGTGTAGATATTCTTATTTCATTACTTATTTTTTGTCACTTAGCCTGATCCTAATTGATGTAAGCCATCCTAGCTAGTGACAAGTCTTTCTAATAATATAGGGATAAAAAACGATTCTGTACGATCAGAGCCTAACTCTGGGAAAGGTTAGTGATCTGGTTAATATGGGGACAATCTGCAATATATGAGACTTCTTCTTAGGGCATTATTACAATGGAAATATTTATATTACTAAAAACAAAACAAAAAAAGAAATGAAACATCTGATGGTTAGAAATGTCTACTTCTTTTTCTCCTTTTCCAGGAACTACTCTTATATATATGATTTATCTCAAGAGATAATTCTTAACTTCAGCTTCATATGAGCCAGAGAAAGTTCCGTTCACTCGCATGCGTGGCAGAGATAATGCAGATTTCCCATGACCCTTCTGTTACACCAGCAGAGAAATGCTTTTGCTGGTACAGATTGTGTGTTGAATGTAAATATCCACAATTTAACAGGAAAAGCAATTTGAATCTGGTGTCATCATGCCCTCTGTTAGTTTCAAGAGACCTTGAGCCAGTAAAGTGCTAAGGCTCTGCTGGCAGAAGTTTTTAGCATCGGCCCAGTGTTGGTCTCCACGCTCCTCTGATCTGAATACTGGCAAAGATGCCAGGACGTACCAGCTGTTGTGGCATTTGCTTATGGAGGATCCACTGTGTACTTAACTGAAGCCAACAACCTGAAAACAAGTCACTGTCTGTAGTTTTCAATAACTATCTTCTGTGATGACTTAGAGGTAAAAGGCCCTGTAGCCATCTAGTGAACGTGAATAAGGTTCTGTTCTGACAGGTTTTGGGTATCGTAGCTTCAAAATAAATAAACAGCTGACAAGGAGGTGTCTTCTTTGCCCAACTCTACAGGGAGGGCATACCAAAGAACCTGATTTGCATGTCAAGACAGACCACCATCACAGCATGACTCTGTGTATGGCATGAATCAGGATGCTACATTTTCAATCTCCATCCTAACCTGCTTCAATAGTGTAGATAAGCTCTGCGTTTTCTCCCTTATCTTTGTCCAAAGCTGTGACCTGCAAGACTGCTGATCCAACTGCTGCTGATTCAAACACCAAGGCTTCGTACAATGGGCTGGTGAAGTACGGACTGTGGTCATTGGAGTCTTCCACATTTATGATGACTCTGGCCAGGTTTCTTCTATAAGGGAATTCTTGATCTCGGACCTATCGAACAAGAGCGTAATACCCATCTTGATATCCATTCAACAAAACTTCATAAATATTAGTCATCTGAGTGCTAATAATACCTTCAGCTCTGTTTAATACAAAGTAATAAAAAAAATCCATTTGTCCCAAAGAGCAGTCTAAAATACATTAACACAAAAGATGGTACATAGTATAATTAAAGAAATAGGAAGAGCTTAGAGACATTTTTTTTTCACTTGTGAAAAAATGCATGGCACTGAATCATCGCAACGTGAATTTTTGAAGCGGCAAACACAGGAAATTTTAAATTTCGGTTTAGGTTTGCATGAAATATCTTTTTTTTAATACATGCTTAATGGTCATGCTTTTACCCTACTACTCCCTGCTTCTAAGCATAGAGGCAAACATACCTTGCCCACTGTTCCTTCTTTCATAGAGCTATGAACAATGTTACCCACTACGGTCAGGCATGTGTCAGTCTGGTGCTCGTAGCTGCCAATGAACTTTTTCATCGTTATGTATGTACATACCTTTTTGAAGATGATGATACCAATAGCAAACAGTAGGAATTACCTTAAATGCTGAGCACTCCCAAAAGAGGCATCATTTATCGCACCTCTCTCAATCCCACACTAAAACATCTCAGCATTGCTATGCTGATAATCCTGCCAACATGATTCCCAAAGTTTGGTTCTCCGTAAGTAGAATAAGTTCCCTATTTTATTAGGTGGACATCAAACAAAAGCACCGCAAAATGACCTCTATCAGCCATGTCACTCTGTGCTTCAGTTTGTATTTATTTCTTAGCCTGCTCGCCCAAGGACTTGCAGCTTGTCACACTGGGAGCGAGACCCCACTCAGCTCCTGCTCACTGGATCTCACAGCAGCTTTCTGATTCCTGGGCTCCCCTGCCCAGAGATGGGCCTGTACCTAACACACCGTGAGCTGTTCATTCAAGTGTCTCTTCTTCAGGAGTCTTAAGTTAAAGAAAACAGTGGACTACTATGTTTCAACTAACACAGATTGTTTTTCTTATTAACCTCTGGTACATAATACACAACTTTCACTTGAAAACAGACAGGCTTATGTTTAGTAATTTAGGAACGCGGAGCAAAAAATGGTAATTAATCTTCTTCTGCACACCCAAACATTTGGAAATGTAGCTGAAAGCTATTTAGTGTATCAACAGCTGACGTACTGAAATAAGTCCATAAAAGTAAACTACAAATGAGTCGTATTCAGAGAAGCTGTAGCATTCTCTACGGCAAGAAAGCAGCTATCTCCCTGTGAATAACTTCTCAAATAACTTTCAGCCTCACTTCAGAAACTCCGAAAATTACCTTGAGTGAGAGGACCAGATGCCAAGAGATTAAATAGTTTCCAGCCTGCTCTCTCTTGAGATAGCAAATCATATCATATTCCATACAATGAATTCACAATGAGTTTCCCAAAATGCCTAAATAAAATTGTGAAATAAATACACAGCAGGGCAGGCACGATGAAATGAATGACTACTTACTGCACTAAGAGTCCTTTGCTCATGCAAAGGCGAAAGCACGTATGCACCTGAAGCAGCAGGGCCTGTGCCCTGAGCCGAGGGAATATTGCATTCTTACCATGACATTAAGGATGTGCTTATCTTGAGCTTCGTGGTCTAGCCTCTCAGCAGTATAGAGCACCCCAGTGCTGGGATCAATTCTGAATTTTCTCACGCTGACTGTATCGATGCTGCTGTGAATAGTGTAGCTCAGCTTATGCTTTTCATCTCTGTCTATAGCTTCAATTTGCAGAATTTCAGTATCAGGGAGGATGTCCTCTGAAATGGTGACATCGTAACTTGGGTGAGAGAATTCTGGGCCATTATCATTGTTATCCAACACCTTGACAAGAACCTACAGTTAACAGAAGAAAAACATTTGCAGTTATTGAAGTCTACTCAGATTACTGGATAGGCACCTAGACATAAGTAATTTACATTAGATGGCTGATGATGTTATGCTGCTCTATGGTAGGCTGAAAACCATAATTAAATTTAAATGCTTACTGCTCAGATCAAAAGAAATAGTAAGGATATGACTTTGGAGGCAAAAAATCCCTAATTATAAAACCTACTCAGAGCCTGACAAAGAAATCCCTATTTTCAGAATCTAATAGATTGGAAAATACTCCTACAATGGTAATAGGAAAGGTTTTGTCGTCCCTTGTAACTGCACTGCTTACAAAAGACTTTAGAACTAATATGGGATTTCCTTCTCCCTTCACTATTAATAAGGCTGTAAAAGAATCCTTTTTTCATGTTACTTAAATCTGCCTTTTATACAAGCAAGATTTGTCTAAATCCTGTGTTATTTTCTGTGCAATATACTGTGGTGGGAAGTACCAGCAATGTCAAAGGGTGACAGCAGAGAAGACTTCAACTTGCTGTGACATCATAGGCTGTGTCAGGAATGGTGACACTTGGTGAGGTGAGGGGACATGACCTCATGGCCACGCACCACACCCCACCCCGATCAATATGTACCTTTGCCGGAGATGGTTGTCTTTATTGCCAACTCACTCCTTGCCCCTCAAACAGCTCTTTTGCCTCCCATATGTCGCAGTTTGTGAACGGTAGGACAGCTGCTAAAAACGTGAATGAACACTGTGCCATTTGCTCCAAGTCTGCCTTTAAAACCTCAGTAGAGACCCCTAAAGAAACCTGGAGGAGGGGAAGGCAGCCAGGATGCTGCTGGCGCTGCCTATGACACCCATTTCAGTACATCACAAGCTGTCCCTTGTAAGAATCACTATTTTCCAAGCACTGCCTTTTGACAGTTATGTGACTATGCAGTGGAATGTGTGTGCGCCTCCAACGAGGTTTTGTGCTTTTCACCCATGGAGGAGTCACTCCTTGGAGAAAACTGACTTTCCAGCCTTTGGCTGCTATAGATTACCGTGGGGAGCAAAACCCTTGACGAACTGTGTAACACCGAGAGAGGCACTGCAGAGAGTTACTGCTTTATTGGTACTGGAAAGTGTCTTCTGCAGAATACACCTGTGAAAGCACACACCTAACTTCACAGTGAGTGGAATGGAACATCTTTTTATTCCAAGGCTTTGAAATAAGAAATAGTCCAAGGAATGACATGGCCACGCACAGAACTCTTCCCTAAGACTAGAAGATGAACCATCTCTCATGATATTTTCTTTGTTGTTCTGAAAAGTACCTGGCTGATTTTTAAGCAAATATTTTATTACTTTGCTTGATCAAGCCCTGTTCACTCATACTTTCTTAACGGAAGAAAAATACAGTTATACTTTTACTGCAATATTGCACAAACAGATGTTGGCCTCAGAGAGAAATGAAACCTTAGATTTCCATGATATTTGGAAGGGTTTGCAGAACACATTACCAGAAGGAACATGAGCAATTGCAAGCGGCAGTTGTAATGAACTAGTCTGGGAACTGTTTAAAAGACAGCTGAAATAAAATGCTCTGTAAGTTAAATGGCACAGGACTTCAACTGCACATGCCACACGATTTCATTTTCTCCAGATTATGGTACGCCAGAGTGAAGCAAGGCGAAGCCTACGTGAAGCTATGCTTCACTCTTGGACAGACAGCAATAAAATTGGCAAGAAATATGCATTGCTTGGCCTATAACAATGATGAAGAGTTACTTAGCTTTTTGGATTTTTGTTACTGCTATACAATATATCAAGGTGTGTTTCTGACCTGACTGAGAAAAAAAAAACCCAAAAGCCAAACCCACATCTGAAAAATATGTGAAAAAATGGGTCGTAATACATGAAAGAAAGCCCGAGGGAAAAATGAAATACTTCAACTCTAATGGGACACAGAGACTGTGCTGAACCATTTTTATTAGCGTAAGGAAGAGACACTGAAGCAATCTGAGTTAGGGATAATCAGAATACTAGTGTTTAACACTTAAAGACACCTCCTCGAGCAGTTCTGATACCCTTCTCAGGAACCACTGTAAGCTGGCTGGATTGTTTTACCACTGCATTGTTAACACAGAAAACACATTTCATTTTATTTTTAATTAGTGGCCTACAACTCCGCCATGTACCATTTTAGATGGATTTAACTGCAAACACCGAGTGTTTCATTCTGCTGATGCTAGTACAGCTCGGTTCCCCTTCAACACGTAAGCTGCCGTGTGCGGGACAGGCTCATACGTGTGAATTCGTATTTAACATTGCTGTGTGCAAACTCAAGCTATTCTGTAAGAAAAGAAAAGAAAAAAAAAAAGAGTACAGATGCACAACAATTTATCCTAAAGGTACTGCTACGGTGGTGATGTGCTGTTTTGTTAGTGTGGTGTGCAATCACCCCAGTGCTAGGGTTTACTTCCCATTGTATCTAATGCATTTTGGGATCACTGGCAAATTGGGAGAGCAGAGGAGGGCATAAAGCTTTATCCACCACAAAGCTTGTACCGTGACTGTGCAAGCCATGGCTGTGTGATTTTATGCCTTCGCTGGACTGCATAAACTAAACAGGGTGCTGGTGGATCAGCATCAGAGACCGAAGGTAAGCCTAGAGACTATGGAAAACATAGTGTGGACTCACAAAGCAGCATTTCTTCCCACTGAAAAAGGTATAAGCTAATGCCCTGACACACAGACATAGACCATGAGGCTGCCTGGGGAGTGGGAGCCATGGAGAGAGCAAAAGACAAAAAAACCCGAGGTACTCATTCACTGTGGCCATCAAACTTACAGGGAACTATGCACTTAAAACTGCTTTGATAGATCCCAGAAAAAAAGTTGATTTATTTTTTTTTCTTTTCACTTCACATCTACTGTAAAACTGATCAAGTGCCTGTTTAAGTGGAAGACATCTTCCTCCCCAGAGATGACAGTATTTTAATGATTTGTCAAGTGATCCACATTGAAATACACATTATTTATTACATACTCTGCATTTCAACAGCCACTTCCATCTGGAGATGGAAGGCGGTGGGTTAGAGATGCTAATGAATAAAGAAGTCATTATTGATTCACAATTTCTTCTATTAAAGCAGTTAAAAGTATTTCTAATTTTTGGCAGCTGTCCCTCAAAATCCCCAAGAGTCAACTGTAATTTTAACATTACAGTCTCTCCTTTACTGGAGGAAGGTGAATTTTCCTTGCAACAAAAGAAAGTTGGATTATATATGGGAATACTGATTATGCAGAGCTCTGTTAAACCCACAAGTTATGGAAAAGGAGAAAATGGGAATCTCATGTTGTTAAAAATTTAACTGTCTTGGGAGCTACTTGAAACAAAACCAGGTAAAATAAAAGGGAACTTAAGTGCCCTTTTAAATAGATATTAGCCCTGCCCTCCTTACAGCACTTGGGAGGAGCAAGTGACTGTTATTATCCCCATCTGTCGCAAGGAAAACACTGCCTGACTGCAAGGTTAAATGACTTACCAAAGCCACACCAGAAGTGCAGCAGCAAAGCTGGGGAAGAAGTTCAGGGCTGCATCCTTAGGTATATTTGTGAGCCACGCTCCTTCTATTAGGTCACCTTAAAATTCCAACTTCCTATGCAGATTTCCTGCCCCAGCAGGATGACTTTCAGTAAGGTGTTACTTAAAAAGAGGGGGCAACCTTTTCCTTTCATAATGGACAAATGTTACACTGGCACGAACACCAGGCTCATGGAAAACCTGATCCTACAAACGTATGTGATGTTGAGTAAGCTGAATTCCACCACATCGTTAATATGAGAAAAGTTCACTCAGATTCATTTAACGGCTGCCGCACAAAGGCATAAAATCTTGGTGCTGCTGGCAAATTTCCCGTTGCCTTCAAAAGGGCCAGCACTCCACTCTTTGAAGCCTTAAGCTTTAGCCAGCCTGTAGCACGTCTTTCACCCAAAATCAAGTGTCATCCAACTGAAGCGACTCAAAGACTCACAGTGCATGTCTAATTTAAGACTTCATATTTATTTCCAAATGAAAGGTATGGCAAGAATGAGCCGTGTTGCATAAATACCCTTTATTACTGTGTAGGTGCCTGGGGTGTTAAGCTGTGACAATACCCCTTGTGAAAAATCAAAGACAGGCTTGAAAATTTCCTAACGCATCTCCAAAAGGTGACGAATGGAAATGTTTACTATTTGTTTGCTGCTAAGTGGGGATTCCTCCTTGCTGCGGACTGTGCAAGGTTACTGACTAAACCACTTTTCACAGACAAACATGTCTTTTTCCACGCTCATAAAGCAAACATGCAGAAAGCAGTCTCTGCCCGGTTATCCTTGAAAGCTCGTATCTTTTCCAGCGCGTCGCGGGTTCCAGAAAGGCAGGCTTGCCTCCTTCTGCTTCCATTGTGCAGAGCCTCATTTATAGTCCGAACAAGCACCTCGCTATAAAAGATTTGATTCTCCCTGCTCACTTCCTATTTCCCACAGTTAAAGCAAGTTACAAATAAAGGATTCACAGGCCTCCAAGCTTACAAATTAGGCAAAGCAACACTCAGAGCATTAGCAAACACTTTGCATTCAAAATGGTAAGTGAAAGACCTAGAGAAATACAATCAAATCAGAGCAGGACAAAACCTAATGCAGGAAGTCTCTCCAAAGCTGTTTTTAATGTTGCCCATCACAAATATCTTTGGTTTGGGCGCAAACCTGTTTGAGCGAAAACTGGATAAATGCCAGGAGCTGCTTTAGAGGCATTTGAAGCTGGAAGAATCTGCTTGGCTAATTGCTTGGTCTGGGCACAGTGTTGTTGTACAACCTATTAAGTGCCTGAATAACTCAGGTTACGCTTTTGTATGCGTTTTCAAAACCTATTTTGATTTAATATTGCTCTCAACAGTGTTACCACACAGCTTTATTCGCTGTTTCCTGACAAGTTTTTCCCTCTCCAAAACCGCAACCTTAACAGTTTTCCTACTGA